AAAACAGACCAGAAACTAGACTAAAAGGTCCAGATAAGACCTCTGAGATGTACACCAGCCCTGTTTTAGCCAGTTCATGTTTTTCTTATAACCATCTTTGGTCCACAGAAGTCCAAAATAATCAGCAAGTAAAACAATGTGATTGGCAAAAATGAAAACTCATTTTGATGCCATTTTCCTTTGAATGAGCTTTGAATGAGAGGGAGGCCTTAGCCCTACTAGCCCATTTAGACCAGCCAGCCCTGGGAGCATTACATAAACACTAAGCCTGCTGCCAACTCCTCCTCTCAGCACTGAAAAAACAGTGGGCTTGATTTGAATGTATACATCGTTTCCACACGCATAAACTATATCAACACAATCTGATCCTTCAGTTTACCTTCATTTGGGAAGAGTTACATTAACGTCATTTATTTAACTTAGGCTTTTTTCCAGTGCTTTTTCTCACAGCCACGAATTCACATATCAACCACAGAAATGACTGGATCCTGAGTGCCCGGAGAAGCAGCAACTGGATGGTATAAACGGAAGCAATCAAGGAAACTGACCACATGATCAAAGTCACCAATATCAAACCGAACTGTCCTCAGTTTTTTTTAAATAAGTTTGTAAACATTGTTTTAAAATGTACTGTTTACTCCCCAGTCCATACAGTCCATAACTGTAGCTCATATTGAATTCAGTTTTTGTGACATCACAAAAACCAACACGTTTACATATAACCACCTATTCAGCCCACAGTTTAGCTGTGTTACTGAATGATAAGCCTTAGTATTTAGCCTGGGATTTTAAGGTATTCAGAGAGGCTGGAAAATAGTCATGTAAAAGTGAGCAGATAAACACACAGATGTTACTCAAAACACAATAAAACAGGTGCCAGGCCTAAAACTGCCTTCAAGGTGGAAAGCAGCACAGAGATAATGAAGAAAATGCTGAAAGGCAAATATTAAGCCTTTCCAAAATTGGGAAAAGACCATAAAGAGTGTTACCTGTGCATAAATTTCTAGTTACACAATCCACACATGCCCTAAAACATCCAGAAATCAGTAAGTTACATTCAGTGGCGTCAAAGGCTTCCAAGTGAGACGGCCCCTGGTTACAACCACTCCAATAAGAAAGAAGCATTCAATTCAGTCCAATAAAAAGCTAAGTTTACAGGCCAGTAAAGCTACTGCTTTATCCCTAATTGTAATAACAGATGAGCGCTCTTTCTGGAAAGACACACAAGAGCTACAGTTCTCTCCCTGCAGGAGATCTGCATCAAACACTATCTGAATACGAGCAGCTCCTCATCAGACACATATAAAACTCTTATGTCTGGCTTTGTGCAGACTAAACTGCAGTATTTGCAAACTCCATCACAGACTTGCTGCTTCCTTTTATACCAATTTAATCATTCCAAAGCCTCTAAACTGGTTTGCAGTGCCACACAGTGGGCAGTTTGAGTAGTGCTTACTATAACAACTTTTTAGCCACTGTAAAATGAACAGAAGTGCTCCACTTTTTTCTGTTGTTGTGGTTATTATTGTAGCTTTCTGGCCTCACGAGGAAGAAAAAGGGAAAGAACATCCGTAATTAAACTGACAGATTCATGTTCTTCTCATTGAGATGTGAATTAAAAGTAGTGACAGTTTCAGAATCCTTTCCTGGTGTGGTTCTGACATTCCCTCGCGTCTGTTCATATCTCCGCTGCTAAACTCTCCTGCTCCTGGGCTCCTGCAGATAGATGCAATTCCTCACTTAAGTGAGTGGAATTCGCCTCATAAGAGAAGAGTAAACAGAGCCGAATTACACCGGCCAGAGTGAGCTACGACAGTCCTGAGAAGAAACCAGTGCTGGGATCTCAAACAGAGCAACAGAATATCATTATAAACATGTATAATTTGACAAATATCAGGTTTTGACCACCTCCATGATTTTAAAGGGCAGCCCAGCCTGTTTGTGCTCTACAACAAGAAAACAAGCATTTTTGTGAACAGATGTGATATAAATAAAAAAGGTTTCTTTCAATTGTTGAATATTGTTGTGCTTCCATGTTGAGAATCATTTATTTGTATTAAATTTATTATTATACAACAGATGACACAATCTGATTGGCTGAGAAGTGATTTTTAAAGGGCCCATGTTATAGAAAACCAAATTTTCACAGCTTTTTGGAAATAAAACAGTGTGATATCGTGTGTAAAGACTGTTAAAGTTTCAAAACATGGCTTTCACACCACAGCCTATGTATAGAAACTAATCTGCATTTGTTGTTTCCGTGAATTCATTTACATACATCCACCTGTGCAGCCTACAGCAGTTTAGCACCGATTCACACTGAAGTTATAAGGAGTGTCGTAGCATGCACTGCTTTTTGAATGAGGCAGAATACAGGGCAGCCAATCAGAACAAAGGTCATTTAAATATATCAGTCTTAAAGGCACAGTAACAGAGATAAAGAGGGGTTAGAAAATGGTCATGTAAAAATCTTTTTTAGTGTTTCATTTTATACAAAAGCCCAGACAAATGACCTCATTGGACCAAAGAAAACATAGGATACAGGCTATTTAAGACCTTTGTTTTTCAAATAAAAACACTCTATACTCTCATATCTATTAATACTTTGTTTGAAAAAAGTACCATTTTAATTATGTACATACTCTATTGTGATTAATGAATGACAAGTGGTCTTACTATTTTCACCTGCTGTGCTACAGCCTCAGTTGTTCTTCAGGGATTCAAGAAACCGAATTGAGTCCAAAGCAGAAAATCGACTCTCTTTGGGATCGACTCTCAGACCCTAAAAACACTTTTATGATGCTCTGTAAATGCAAAATACAAGATTTTGATAAAAGTTTGCCAACAATTCAAATGTAAATGAATCACTTAGTACAGTCAATATATAATTGATTATTGGTGGTTGTGTTTATAGTAGTTATAGTGACATTATATGGTGTATTTATGGCAGGGACAAAGTAGAACACTTCTGTACTTGAGTAAAAGCAGAAATATGTATGTACTCTTATAGATCACTTTCAAGAATTGTATTTTTTTGCCCATGACATACATTGTTGGGACTTGGCTTTATACATTTAAGAAATATCAATGATATTTTATGATCAATACCAGCTTAATAAGAGAAATAAGAATGTATTTTCCATTTTTTCTCATATCCAACATTGTTACAAAGGAATATACAGCAGGTTTGAATGAAACTCTTCATTTCTACATGAGTAAAAGTTCAGAAGCACATTCTTTGTGAATGTACTTGAGAATGTACTCATGTATCAAAAGTAAGAGTACTCTGAGTTATTATAGCTCTGGTATACTATTAAAGAGAACTGCAGATATGAAAACAGTTCTTTATGTCTGTAATCACATATAATAGAACTCGTTCATTAAAATATTATTACATACTTTAATTTTGATACTTCATTACAATCGTAAGCAATTATCTCTGTACCTTTACTCAATTAGAAGTACTGTGCTTTGTTCAGCCCTGGATTGTAGGATGGCCTGTTTGTGTTCTACAACCAGAGAATAAGCATTTTTGTGATCAGACTTATTATAAATAAAAAAGGTTCTTCCAATTATTAAATATTGGTGTACTTTATGTTGTGAATAATTTATTTGTAAATAAGCTTTTATTATACAACAGTTAGTTCTGACGACACAATCTGATTGAGGAGTATTTTAGCTGTACTGCTATTTGTGATAACAGCATGCTTTTTCACAACAATGGTATCATTCTTCTGAGCAAGGAACCTGCAACTGCTGTTAAACTCTAAGTTTCTACTTTAACACATTAAAAAAACGGAAAATAAATACATTGGAAAACTTCTGCAAGATAAAGTTTGACCTCCAGGCTGGTCAAGTTCTGAAGAAGAGAGAGACAGCAGGCTGACATGAAATTCCAAAACTGTCACTGATCCTAAGCAAACTTTTTGACGTCAGCTCTGATGGCTGCACAGCTAAACAAACTGGAATTAGTCAGAAACAGAAGCAAACAAGATGGGCTGTGAAATGCTTTACAGACTGACTGGAATAAAACCACATTCAGCTTCATCTGGAAAACACTGAAAAGGCTGAGCTGAACCTGATATCGTTACAGGTTACGGTTCTATCAGTAACGCAAAAAGGTACTACTTTCTTTGGCGGAAGGAATTTTCAATATTAACCCATTAAATGGCCAGGGCCCACTGGCAGGCCCGGAGTTTTATTACATATTTCTATAACCTAAAAACAGCTCATTGAAGTCCCTGAATAATAAGCCTTAGTATATGATAAGTCTGGGATTTTAAGGAGTTTAAGCACTTTGATACAATGCTTGACACTTCTTTGCTTTACTTTTCTTTATTTTGCAACACTGTTGTATAAAAGAAATATAATACTTGAGGCATTATCATGAATAACATGTATATAAATAATATATATATAAATTGAGTATGGTAATACTGGTCAGTTTTTTTGCAACATCCTGATCAGAGCTTTAATACTGAAACATTAGGGGCATCCATCACTACATACAGAACCTGGTTAACATCCTCAAATACCATCTGAATTCATTAGCTCTGCAGCAGTGGTGAAGCAATGACTGATATTACAAATAAAAACGTGTGAAGCCAAGATGCTGAGGCAAAAATAAATCATTTTTAACAATACTGACATTTACACTTTGTACAAATGATTGTCTGAACATGACACCAAAATGAGTCACGTCTCACATTACAAAACTATAAATAAACCCACACGTATAATATTTTAAAATGTTGCGCACGTTATTGCTTAGGCAAGTTTGAAGGCCTGTGACATTAAAGGGAAGATGCGATTCTATTTACAGTCTGGGTGAAGGCCAACATCTGCTTTGATCTTCCTTTCTTTTCATTATGACTTTGCCTAATTCGATGCAACTAACCAGAAGAGTCCAGATGCCGTTTCTTTGGCGCTGTTGCATAGATAGAGTGCTAGTTCAGAAGCTCCCATCGTCACTGGAGAATCAGTGGGTGGAGCTGTGCGGTCTATATTGAAGGAGGTGTGATGGGCGTCCAGGCCGTGGGCAGCCGCATGTGAGCGGAGCTGTCGTAAGGAGAGACTTCGTGCACCTCATGGGTAGGAGTGCTGTCATACAGAGGGGATCCAGCAGAGGGCACTGTGCCGGGGTGAGACAGGCTGGTGTAGTGGCTGGCAGAGCCGCGGAGGAATCCGGAGCTCAGACTGCTGACCATCCCCCCTGACTGAGAGACTGGAGTCAGGGGAGCATTTCCCACAGTCCAGAGACTGGTGTACTGACTGCAGGAGAGACAGAGGGATGTGAAAGAGATGTTAGACGTCTGCACAGTAAAGGCTCTATATTAATACACAGTCACGTATCAGAGATGTGCTGTGATTTGTGGCAACATAGGAATCAGTGTTACTTCACAACAGCAAAGAACTTACAATGCTGCACGGGCACAACTTTAGATTCATTTGACGGTTATTTTACCAAGATATCAGAAAAGTAGAAAGCTTTTTACACTGATCTTCCCGGGTCGACAACTTTCTGTGGTTAATTTAATTTTTGTCGTATAATCATAAACATGCACCAGCTGAACATTTCACTGCAGGGTTTAATGAAGAAGCGTTCACTTTATAAAGTTATTTTTCCATTTCAAAAACAAGGCCTGATCCAAATGGAAACCAGCTGAGTTTATGGTTCTAGGTCTAGTTCTTTTCCCACCTGCTCAACAGCTGGAACCATTATAATAACCACGATTAATGATCTAATGGTCTTTCTAGTCATTTTATGTTACTCTAAAGCATCTACTTTTGCTAATTCGCTACGTTGCTCGCTAGTAAGCTTAACTTACTGGCTGATATGAAGTGATTTTGTGCCGAAATGCTCACACAAATGTCTACATTTACACAGAATCATGTTCAGAATCAAACAAAGTGTATATTCTTTTCTGTTTAGTGTGAAAATATGAGCAAAACACTCCTGCAGAGACTAGCATAAATGCTACTAATGCTAACAGTGTTATCTTCTTAACCAGCTTAAGTCACCTTATGGCAAAATGTCTAAGTAATAATAATTCTAAAAACAGCAATGAACGCAACAGTTGGCTTTAGCTGCAAACGTTACCAAACACATAGGATCCCTATGTGGGATTAATACTACTTATAGCAGCTCGACCTGCTCTCAAAAGCAGGACATTTAAAGTACATTTGACTGCCTCAAACACAACATGATTTACTGTTATTGCCAAAGTTCTGTTTGTATTTACTGTAAATTGTACTGTAAATTGAGCTGCTTCCATGCTGACTGGACGAGAGTCCACCCGGAAGTATAGCCAACCTTTATACGAACAATGGAACCCAACTGTCAGGTTGAGACATCAACTGGGCTCAGGTCAAGTTCAAATTTCATATTTGGGTTTCTTAAGGCCCGTTTACCACCTTTAATGGATTTAGGCAGTGCATTCTCTTTTTATTCTTGCTGGATTTTATAACCTTACAGTTTTTTTTAATTAAGGCACACTGGAGTGAGAACAACACATTATGTAAAGTTTATCGAGACTAAAACCTTTTTCATGATGCAGTTTAAAAGCATGAGTTAGTAAGTTAAAGTGGGATTTAAATGTAATTTTGAATCATTAATGATCTCATGGCAGCCGTCACTGCCGCTAGGGAACTTAACAGGTGCTGTCGTTAGGAACGTAGAGTGTAATTTGTTCTCCAGTTGGTTGTGGTCTGGATCGGATCGGGTTCAGACCCAATTTTGTGAGGTTATATTCAGGTTCGGAACAAAATGCAGGCCCAAAGCAATGAAAGCTCTAATATGAACTCACAGTATCACCCATATCATGACTAACACAGGACTGAAGAGATGAGACATTTGGGGGTTCATGTTGTTTGAGTGACCTTATGGCCATTTTGTGTGTGTGAGATAAGTGCTGACCTGGAGTTGGAGCTGGGGGGAGAATGCTGGCCCATGGGGACCATGCTGGTGTGAGAGGACATCTGTAGACTGGACCAGTTCTCATGGGACGGCAGCATGGACAGACATGCTGATGGGTTCTCCGAGTAGCCAGCTGAAAAATAACCAGAGACACACCTGTTCATTTTCTGTGGCACCCTTGGTCATGCACAGAGCAACAAAGGCACCAAAACGTAACATGTTCTCCTTCTTGCCAGACTGATTACTAAAAACCCCACAAAACCAAACATGGGTGTCCAGGCATTCCCCGACAGAGTTGCTTGTTTACGACCGTGAGCTCTAACATGCACAAAGGCTGGAGGAATGCAGGGCATTCTCAGCTCAGTGGCACTTGTTTGAGTTTCTCATTAATGGCATGGAGTCCGGAAAGCCAGGGTAAGAACAGTAAGTGTGTGCACACCCACATTTTCAGAAATCAGTCCTGATTTTGAAGGAAAACCAGAGAAGACATGGCTAAACTTTGATATCAGGACCAGCAAAGTGGAAGTGACTTTGTAAAAGGCTTATTATCAAAGTTATGTTTCATTTTTACCTAAACTGAAAGGATAAACCCATTTATTTAGGTTACTGAGGTTAAAATTAGGCTTGGGGACAGGTCAGCCTCAGGCTTTGAAGATTCTTATTAGTTAAAGATGTAACAACAGACGCTAGTTTATTATTTGATTACCATATCAGTAATATCTCTAAGACTGTAAGGCTGTAAACATATCCAAAATAAGACACAAAAGTCAACAAGATGATGAGAAATTAGCATTATTATATCAGACTAATGTAATGTGTTACCAGTTACCCTGCTGTCTCTCTAAATCAGCTTCAGCTTGTTCAGGAAGCAGCAGCCTGTGTGTTCACCAGGTAAAGTAGGTCTAAACCAGTATCCTGGCCGAGTTCCTGCATATCTTACTGATCTGTTGAAGTGTTATAGCCTATCCAGAACAGTTTCCTTAACTATAGCAGGGTTACTGCAAAATCCTAGGATCTCTTACAGCTCAGCTGGTGGAAGATCAGTTTCTTATACAGCTCCTACACTCTGGAATAACATTCTGAAGTATACTGGGAAAGCAAGCTTGATGAGTGTTTTAAAATCCAGATTATCAACATAATTTGGTCTGTTTAGGTTTACATATGCATAGAAGTATTGTGGCTTATTTTCTCAAGCTTGTAATTATGTTTTTATTTTAATTTTAAAGTGCATTGTTTTCATTTTTCCAGTGTTTTCCTTCTATTTCTGTGTAAAGCACTTTGAAACCTAGGAGTATATAAATATAGCAAAATATATAAAATACGAGACATATAGTCATATGCAAAAGTTTGGGCGCCCTGGTCAAATTAATGTTTTGTTGTTTTTCTAAGAGGAGGAGTTCACATTCTCTGCAGAGGATATTTTAATGCACATTTTAACGCACAATTACTGTTTATTTTCTGAATTTAACACATTGGAAGAAAGAAAACGTAAAATGTGGTCTGTGCAAAAGTTATGGGACATTTTATATTTTATATATTTTATATTTGTATATATTTTTTTCCCAAAATGTTAAACTTGGCAAATAAACAGAAATTGTGCACTAAAATGTGAGTTTAAGTTTAACTTTGTTCTCTTGTAAAAGATGTTTTAACTTATTTTCACTTAAAAAAAACAAAACATATAATCTGACTTGAGGGTGTTTAAATTTTTGCATATGACTGTGTGTATGACCTCATGTTCTGTCACTGTATAAAACAAACTGGTGAGTGTGTGAGATCTTACTGGGGGAGGCTGTTCTGTGAGGGTAAGGGCTGGGGTAGGGTGACGCCCGGTGACTCCTCAGAGTGGAATAGCGCTCACAGCCATGAGAGGAGGACATGGACAGAGGGCCGCTGAACTGAGGGTGAGAGTTTGCTGGAGGACAGATTGATCCAGATCCTGGTAAAAACCAGCTACTCACTACAAACACAAAGCAGAGGAGGGAGAGTTTAGGACATGGGGTGGCACACAACCTCGAGAACCATGCTGTCAAAGATGCTGAATCCTATTATAAGCTGTGTAATTACAGCGCTGAGGAGTACGAGGGATACCTGTGAATAGATTTTAAAAAGCATAGCCGCAATTCTGTGAACAGTATGTAAAAATAAAAGTAAAATCAAACTTACATTGAGTATAGCCAGACTGTTGGCTTTCATTTGTGTCATCCATTATTTCCTTATGATCACTTCTACAACACAAAGATGAGAAAGACTGAAAAAAGGCCACATTATTTTCAACAAGCAACCATATCTATACAGTTGTATGTGAACGTTTGGCTGCCCTTTTGTTGATTTTCTAAGTTCACACATCCTCTATAGAGAACACACTTCTGCACATTTTAATGTAAAGTTACTGATTATTTACTTAATTTAACACACTGAAAAAACTGCGGTCTGTGCAAAAGTAATGGCACATTTTATATTTTATGTTTCATTTTCTTCCAATGTGTTAAACATTATTAATACTAAGTAAATAAATAGAAATTGTGTACTAACATTTGCAGAAAAACATTTTTAAGCTGTTTGAAAATGAACAAAACATTATTTGACTTTGGGTGTTAAAACTTTTGCACACGACTGAATAAAAAAAACAAATAAAACATTCTGAAAAGTGTTGAAGTCAAACCTGCACCTTTCTTTAGCGTCAAGGAAAGCTTTGGCGAACGGGTTGTATTTTATTTTGAGGGCGGTGATCTGAAAGAGGACACAAGCTGTTTAACATTCATCTCTAAGGTGTTGCTTTATTCACATGTGCAAGATAATGTTTCAACCCCTTTAAACAGTAATGATCAGTCGGTGGATCCAGACTTCAATTCATTATCATATTACATCCATGTAGTTACTGGGCAGTAAGCCTAGATATAAATGACTGAATAATAAGCCTGAAGTTTAAGAGGTTAAACTGAACTATTAAACATGAAAAGACTTACTTCTTCATTCTGGTAGGCAGTAACTGCAATGAATTGGGTTTCAGGGAAGGAGTGACTGGTGACCATCCTCTGCGGCCCTCCAACTCGCACTATATGGATACGGGGTTCGTACTTGTGCAACGAGTTTAACATGATCTGCAAAACAACAAGAAATCAGTCAAAATGGTCTGTAGACTTAAGGCATGCATAACACAATATATGCAAATTAGCAGTTCACTGGAAAACAGTGAAGAATATCTGATGAACGTTTATCACAGGTCTCTTTTAGCCTTTCTCTAGATTTACAGAATGTGTTCTCTCTTTCTTTATAGTGGGTCAGACCAGCAGGGGTGCTGAGGATCTGTATCAGTCCCAATTTTCAAGGCCTGTTTAACTGCAACTGCTAAAAATAATAATGCAATTGGAAATATTTTGGCATATGTGTGCTTGAGTTTGCATTTTTATTTAATTTATATATGTTCTTAAATTCAGCCTCACACTGTTCATTTTCACCCAATAGCCCTACACAAAGGAGTTGAAGGCTAGTTCTCCACTTAGAATATTGTTTTTAAAACTTAAATAAAAATCATCCTTTTGAATCTTGAAGCATATAACTCCGTGGTTTCCGTGCCTCATATCAACTGCCTGAAACTTTACAGAGTCAGAATTGTTCACAGTGGTGGTGATAGGAACCAGACGTCCACCTCTAAAAGCTCCCTCACAGAAAGTTATTACATGAAGTGGTTATGTCATTGTTTTGAGATAGTTTTGAGAAGGATTTGGCCTAAACGTATTTTTCAAATCCATTCATGGTGGAGAGCTACATGCAGAACGTTATGACTATTTTACATCAGTTATACATACAAAAACTTAGAATACACATGTAGGTTCACTGGTGGTTTAGGACAGCCAGTAAAAGACTGTTATTGTTAACAGTGTTATAGATAACATGCCCCTGGCTCCTTTCACCACCACTGTAAAGAAATCTAAGTTTGAAAGTTTCTCTGCAATGAACCACTTTCACATCTTTACCTTCACAAAGAGTTTAAATTTAAATATCACTAAATTATGCAGATAATTAGAACAAATAGGTGGAATTCCCCTTTAACTCTGCTTGACTGGTCAGTACAACGTGTAATTGTGTATAATGTATGTATAATGAACTAGCCTAACTCTGTCTGTATGACTGGTCAGTGCCTACCTGTCCACCTCCGTTCAGTTTGTTGGTCAGTTTGACTTTACTGAATGAGACCGGGGCCTTCATCCAGTGTGCTCCGAAGTTGGGCGAGTCCGGGTGCATGTACACACAGCTGGGCCCCTGTGGCTCCGGCCTGCCTCCTGCCACCCACTCTCCATTCACGTACTTCCACCTGTGGCTGTCCGCTGCTACAAAGTCCAGCAGGACAGAGTACATGGCGCTGGGATCCAGGCCGGACACGCTCACCTTCAGCACGGGGAACATGCGCCTTCAGCCCAGAAGAAAGAAACAGACCATTTCAGCAAGTCAGTTAGGTTTAGTGCTGAGGACATACAGCACATATATGTACACATAATCTCAGGAGTTTGGCTGAAAGAATAATCGTTTTTATCTATTCCGCACTTTTCAAATCACAAGACTTGCTTTTTTAATTAAAGCCTAAATCATCAACAGCATCACAAGTTTTAAGTGGGGAGATTTAACCTAATAACACAGAGCTGTGAAGTGCCTGTAGATGAGATCAATCAGATCTGTGTGTGTGACAAACACAAACACAACTGCCTGCCGGTCTGACACACCAAACTCCGCATTTAAGCCTCAGGCCAGAGAAAAATGGATATGCTGGTCTTTTTAAATACAGGCCTGAAACTTAATTTGTATAAAATAATTGAAATTTAAATCACAGTCATGATACTCGTCAGAAAAATATTTGCCTGAGTCGTCCAGCCCTGCTCAGGACTTTGTCAAACTTGAGCGCTGCTGTTTATGGTGAAGGAAAAGAATAAGTTGATCAAATAAAGCTGAATGTTATCTACAGTAAAATCACAGTTTGTTTGTATTCATATTTTTTCGAAAATCAGCCCTGACTTTGTAGGAAATCCAGAGACCAAACTGTTAATATCAGGACTAACAAACAGATTCTGATAAGCAATGTTTTTTATTTTTTGAAGTTAAAGGATAAACCATTTTATTTTTTGTTACTGAGGTTATTCGTATTATATATAAGTTGTAACTATATGTATATTTATAGTTATATTATATATATTTTAATGTAAGTCAGTGGAACCAGACTTTTTCCCCAAGTAATTCTGGGCCATTTGTTTTTGTCTGTTCATCATGAAATGTACACCTGAGATAAGGAGCATAAATTTTCAAATTATGTCAAAACTGAAAAATGACAAAATGGAGATTTTATATATGTATATATACACATATATATACATATACATATATATACATATACATATATATACATATACATATATATATACATATATATACATATACATATATATACATATACATATATATACACATATATATACATATTATTTGCAATTATTTGCAATGCATTATAATTTCCAGATCACTAGAAAAAACGAAACTGATAAACGATAAATTAATAGAAAAAGAAATGTTGACAATTGAACTTTCATCATGCTTGTTATAATATTAAAATCTGGTTATGGATAAATAAATAAATAAATAAATAAATACTGTAGATCTCTGACAAGAAATACACTGTAAAGAAATATGTTGTTTGAACTCAGTAAACAAAGTAACCCGATTGCCTTAAAATGATTGAGTTGAAACTCCCACAGCAAAGTCAGCAGCAACAAAAACACTTTATCGAGCTACGTGACCCTAAACTGACTTGATAAACAGTAAGAGTTATGATGAACACAGACGTCTAAACCTTTTACAGTTTTATGTGTAATTAAGTTTCCACTTCACACCATGTTCAACCTTAAAATGAGTTTAAGGGGATGTCTGTGGTAGAATTTCACAGATGAGCTTGTTTTTATCAAGTGAACCAATATCATGTTCACATTTACAGCATGAAAAAACAGGAATGAACTGAATTTACTTGATAGAAATGTGAACGTTATTCACACATTAATAAACTATATTATATCAACACAATTTAGTTCTTGGTTTACTTATAACGTGGTAACAGTACAGATTCATTTATGTGGAAATGCTTACATTATTTGAATCAAGCAAATTCAAGTATATAGATGCATTCTTAAAAAGATGGTTCTTCAAGGGTTCCTTAGTTCTATTTAGGACCATGAGTTCTGTATAGAACCATTTGCATGCTTAAAGGGTTCTCTGCATGGTTAAATGGTTCTTCAGATTGGTGGAGAATGTGCTGTATGTGATTCTATACAGCACCTTTTGGAAAATGGTTCTTCTATTGTTACAATGTCAAGCTTGTCACAATAGCAGAACCCTTTTTGGCGCGATATAGAACCATTAACACACGTCTATCAATCTGAAGAACCATGTCGCCATACAAAAAAACAGTTAAGCATGAAATGGTTTTATGTAGAACTCATGGTTCTGAACAAAAACATTCCCTTTACTGAAGAACCGTTAAAGAACCATCTCTTTTAGGAGAGTGGAACAGTGTTGGGTTCTCATTCTGAACACAGTACCTGCCGTTCTTGGTCACGATCATCTCGTTGGTGAGTTCTCTGAACTTCTGCCACAGCTCGGCTTCATCCAGGCTGACTTTCAGCTCCCTCTCGGTCGGGTCTCCTTTCTCGCTGCCCGCCTGCAGCTCGCTCTCCACGGCGCTGAGCAGGTGGTCGACCCGCGCTTTCCCTGGACACTCGGTCACACCTGAAGCCATAGTTTAGTGCAGGACTCCGTTCGAGCTCTCTGTGAAGGCCTCTTCTGAGTGAGTGTGTGTGCCGTACACTGGGCCTTAAAGTCAGAGGTTACACTGTTGGGCCTCAGACCCTCTGCTGCTCTATAAGAAGCCCCCCAGTGACGCCGCGCCGCTGAGAGGGCGCTGATTGGCTCGGCCGCGCTTTGATTTGTGCCGCCTGACCTACCATTGGTTAAGAGCTGATCGGCTTAGCCAATGAACGCGCGCCCAACGCCACACCTGGAACCGCGAAAACAAACCTAATGTTGCTGCTTTAAAGGGGAACTCCACCGATTTTTCAAGATTTCTGCATAAGTCTGTCGTTGAGGAGACAAAGTCATTCAGTGGTTTGATGTGAAATGGATCACTGTAGAGAAACTTACGGACTCTGATTTCTTTACAGTGGTGCTGATAGGAACCAGGGGTCACGATGTTTACAACACAAATATAGCCATTTTACATATTATCCAACATGACCAGAGAGTCTACACGGGTATTATGAGTTTTCATATATAATTTTAAATCCATTCATGGTGGGGAGGTACACATGTAGGACTTTGTAAGGCCCCAAAAATAGTTTCCAAAGTTTTGTGTACTTAAGTTTGTGGTCATATATATATATACATATATATATATATTAATGCATTGTTATTACACTAGAGCTTTAGCAAAAACTCAATAAAGAAAGAAAGAAAGAAAAAAAGAAAGACAGCAAACTACAGAGAGGTTGTAGCTAATGCAGATTTTAATGAATAGGAATCACATTATAACATGAGTTTCATTTAAATGATGAATTATTCATTAAATCACAGTCGTAAACAATTGAAACAGACATTAAAAAGTCTCTGTCTGTCTATCTATCTATCTATCTATCTATCTATCTATCTATCTATCTATCATAATAATAATAATAATCACTACATTTTGATTGTTTATACTGATGCAGATCATTTTTTTACACCAGTGTTTAAAAGTTCGGAATCATTTAATATAATTAAAACAATTAATATAATATTGATTTACGATTATGCACTAGAAAGCGTTTTAAGATGTTTTATTCAATATATTAATTAAATTGAGTGAACAAGAAGTGGATAAAGTTCTGCCTTTGTAATATCTTTGTAATATGATAAATTCAGCATATTCATTTTTACTATAACTTAATTCTTGATGTTCTGCAACTTTTAGAAACATGCATATTTGTACCTTTTCATAACCTAATGTATTAAAACAGAACAATAAAATAAAAAGCCTGGAGACGAGATGGGGTGTGTGGAATAAGTACAGTTTAGCACATATAATTTCAATAGATTATGGTACAGTTATGTTCCCTGACTAAAGGTACTGAGATGAACCCTTGAGGGAACCACCCCCAGTGACAAGGGGGGGTCCTGCCCCAGTGAGAGTTTCATACCTTTATTTCTGAGAGTGTACATTTCTCTTCAGCCAGACTGACCATTCTCTGACCTCTCTTTTTTTTGTTGTGGCTGAAAACATTGATTCTAAACTTCTGAATTGATTTGAAACATTATAAATAAACACACAGTTGTTTGTGAAATCTTTAAACTAATTAAAACTAGTAAGATGCCTCTGAAAAGAGTGACACTGTATGTCAGGTTTAAAGTCTGAATAAATATCTAAATGAGAAGAAAGGCTGTAACTGCAGACTTTTGTCCCCCCACTGAAAATAGAAAATATAATTCTCTGACAAAACTGATACAAACTGGCGCAAAATGAATGACAATCCATCATTCAGTGAACTGGGAGTGACTACAACAGTGCTCAGTGTTGAAGTGCTGAACCCATATACGATACTTCATAACACGTAATTGGTCCACATCTTGTTATCAAAGTCTTCACCCTGAAATGCATCATATCAAAACTCATCAGTCCAGAAATAAATAAAAGATGAAAGTATATAAACAGGCCACCAGCAGTGTCACATTTCTTACCTGTGAAATACTCAGAGGGCAAATGTCCTCCATGGACAGGGGCACCTCTGGGTCAGAGGCTCCACTGCAGCTAAGCTTAGAGTCCTCAGACTGTGGGGAACTGCAGAAATCAGCACTGTTAGTAATCAGCACTGACTGAACTGTGTGTACTTGATGATGATCAGTCCTCACCTGGTCACCTGGTCAGATGAGGTGCTTAGTTTCTCCTTAAATTGTTCTGGATACTCAGTTTTACAGCAATCTTTCGGAGACAGTGGTGGGAGAGCAGGCTCTGTAGAAAATCTTGGTTCTTTAGTCGAGATTTTGTTCAGACACACGTGCTCCAGCTGTTGAAATTAACAAAAAAAAACTTAAGCTTGAGGTAAAAGTTCTTGCATCTTTATAGATTTATAAGTGCAGTGGGCTCCAAAAACTGAGCGCACACTGAAAATCTGGGTTTACTTCATTTAAGCCTGGAAATAACAGCAGAAAAAAACAGTCATGACAAGGAAAATAAAGAAGAAATATTAAAATCTGCACAATTTCTGGTTACTACATAATTATAATGGGCCCATATCCTATATTTTTTCCCTCTTGAGTTCCACTTATAACATTTGTGTTTTATGTAGCAAAAATAGTCATAATTAGTTTTTACATGACTATTTTCCAACCTCTCTTTGTCTTTATCCAGCCTGTTTTTGTTACTGTGCCTTGAAGACTGATATATCGCTGCTGTCGAAGCAAAACCTCTTATTTCTAAAATGGTAACTTTACAGGAGAAAGAAAAAACATGCTTTACTTTCAATGTAAGTCAGTGGAACCAGAATTTTTTCCAAGTCATTTTGGGCCTTTTCTTTTGGTCCATTCATCACGAAATTTACATATAATATAAAGGGCAACAGGCGATTTCAAATTATGCCAAAAATTGAAAAATGGAGATATGAGGTTTTGTTCCGACAGCAGCAATATGTTTAATGAAGGTAGGAAGCTCTGTTCTGATTGGCTGTATTATGCTTCATTCAAAAAGCACTCAGAGATGAAATATCCTTAGAACTTCATTATGAACTTAGCTACACTGCTATAGGCTGAATGGGAGGATGTATGTAAATGAGTTGATTTTTGTGACATCACAGAAACAATTTAAAAACAGACTGTTTTGGCTGCTTAATTTCTATAAATGGTCTGTATGGACTGAGGACTAAATGGTACATTATGAAACTTTAGCAGTGTTTATATATATTACTTAAAACTCATTTACTGCAAGAAAAGCAAGGAAAATTCGATTTTCCATGATATGGCCCTTTAAGCAAGTTTTTTGCTTTCAGACAACTCTCAGGTGGATCTGATCTACTCATCAGAGGCCTTTTTGTGCGGTCCATGCCAGCTCGAGCGCACACTTCATTAAAGGAAAACAGGGACATGCCACCAAATACTGAAAAATTCTGAAATTATTTCAGATTCTGATGATTTGACCTTTCACTCAAAATGTTATGCTGATAATAATATAATTTACAACAAAGGAATGTAAAATAGGTGCATAACTAGTGGTCTCAGACTTCTGGAGCCCCCTGTATGTGCGCTATGTTTTGTATTATGTGAAAATAACCAGGTTGTTGATGCTGTATCCTTCGTCGTACTGCAGGGCGAGTCCTTGTTTGTCCAGCAGTCTGTTAATGAAGAGAAAAAAGAAAAATCAACCATTGAGGTGAAAATGAATTCACAAACAGTGTTATAGCTGCTTTCATATCTCCTCACTGTATGTATTTTATAAAGTTGTGGCTTCTATTGTCCCACTGTCCTCTGTTCTCGACTGACCTGCGTGTGTGAGCCATGTGCGAGAGCGAGAGGCTGTGCATCAGGCGAAGCTTGTGCTGAGTCAAGGCTGCAGTCGTCGATTTGTGAAGCGGCTCCTTCACTTTCTGTTTGGTGCAAAGAGGAACAGCAGAAACGACAGAGTCTTCATCATTACGAACCACATCTCTCTGAAGCCTCACTGTAGACTATATTTCCTTATTGGCTCAGTTTCATATGTGTGAAGGGCACATGAATCAGTTTAACATAATAGGCCGGTTTCACAGATCCAGATTGAGACTAAGACTAGGCTAAAAAGAAATCTCGATTGTGGGTCATCATTTGCACCGCACTTTAGACCAAGACTAGGCTTAAGTCATATCTGGGAAACCTGCCCTATTGAGCTCTTAAAGGCTTAAACTTCCATTGCTCACTCTCAAAGCTACAAACCTTACTTTATGTCGCTGTCGTAAAAACTCATATCTTCAAAATAGTAGCTTCTTTTTAACGTTGCTTAACCCAGGACCTGCAACAGTGTCCAAACTTCTAATAAGAATGAACATAACTTCAGAAAAACATGAGTGGACAATCAGTACTCAGGGGACGGGTTTAGTGAAAAGTGTGCTGTAATTTGTTTTTGCTTCAATTTGCATCATGTTGTTTTGGACACTTTAGAAAATCCAGTTTTCTTCCTCTTCAGAGTAACGAGTAACAATACATTCACGCAAAAAGTTAAAAATAGGCTAATTTATTACAGACACCTGAAAAAAGTACTGAAGTACAGTAATCAGGTATCTTGACTGGATACCTTAAAGGGGAACTCGTCTGATTTTTCCAAATTTCTGCACAATTATGTGGGTATTCAGAGTGGTTTGGTGTGAAATGCTCTGTTCTAGAGAAACTTACTGAGTCAGAATTGTTCACAGTGGTGGTGATAGGAACCAGACATCCAAAACATTTAATGCCTCTGAAACCTCCCTCATGGAAAGTTATTACATGGAATGGTTATGAATGCCTTGTCTGACACCTGAGACATTGTTTTCTTATAGATCTGAGATATGTTTTCATCCATAAACATATTTTTAGAAATACATTCCTCACAGAGAGGTATAGGCAGGGTGTTGTAGGGATAATAGTTCCCAAGATTTCAGATTTACCACTTTTTATCATCACCATATCAACATTACATATAAACACTGAGAAGATGCATGTGAGACGTGTATATCTGCATGGAAGACACTGTGACCCCTGGTTCCTATCACCACCATATTAAAGAAATCAGAGTCTTTAATTTTGTCTATAATGAATAATTTCACATCAAACCACTGTGAATTGTTCACATTTCAATGACAGAATTATGCAGCAAAATCAGTTTCTCTTGAAGAATAATAATTAGAGTTTGCATTGTTGTCCATATAGATACTAAATAATAAGCCTTAGGGTGTAATAAGCCTGTGATTTTCACCAGTTTATTACACTTTAATGTAAAGAGTAGTTGTTCCAAGTAATTTCTGACCATTTCTATCGGCCCATTCCTAATGGAATGTTCACACAATGTAAAGGACAGCTGACATTTTGAAAGTTATGATATTAGTAGCATGGTAGTTTTAAATTTGTGGTAATAGGCCTCAGGATTACCAACCGAATGATTAAGCTTTAGTGCTCAACTGTTCAATAATGGTCATACTAATATAAGTGGTCACTCTCAGAAACATTAAGAACTAGCATTTGTCAACTAATGTAGATCAGGATTCTGGATTATGTATGAAATCCGATGCCAATAGTACCAAAAGAAGAACGTTGGTTTTGAAAGTTTCCGAAAAGCTGGGCTGCAGAGTGGAAAACCTGGGCACCTGGATCTCCTGTAAGAAGACCTGTTGAAATAATAAAAGGCCATTTGAAAGTGCACTTTAAATGCAGATTTTCTGCCTGGTCTCTCTGGCATTGCATGCAAAACTTTTTTATTGTGCAGAAGGGTTGACATGGTAACAGGGGTGTTAGTTCAGGGGTCGGAGGTGATGAGGAGCATGTCATCTCTCACAGTTTTGGGTGTTAGCCTCAGCGCCTGATTCTCTCACCCTGTTCAGGGCACATGCATACAGCGTGTGAAGGAGGAGGGTTTGGGTGTGAGGAAGAGAGCTGTTGATGTAAGTGACTACTCACACACCTACAGTCCACCACACCACCAGAGCAGAAAGCATTCTGTATTCAACACTGCAGCTGGGTTACACGGCGCTAACATTCAGATTTACTAAAAAAGTAGCGCTTTTACTATAAGTCTGGTATTCAATGCAAATATAACAGAGTAATTACACAAGTAAATAGTTACGTCATGAATTGTATTTACATACAATTTACATTCTGCTTTGTTTTCACTTCTTCAAGACTGTAGACACATTAAAAGCTTTTATTTTTTTCAAATTTAAATAATCTACGTCTAACGGTCAATCTGACAGTTTCTAAATATATGAGGTACAATCGAGTTTGTTCTACAAAGAAGTAGGGACAGCATATAAAATGCAAATAAAAACAGAAAGCATTTTGCAATACATTCATAAAAGCTGGGGTGAGGCAATTTTAGGCTAGGAATGTTGTGATATGTTCAAAAAACTCAAAGAGGCAATAAAGTCATGATTAAAATGGTATAAAAGAAGCATTCAAAAAAAGGCCTAGTGCTTTATCAGTAAGGATGAGTCGAGGCCTGTCACTTTACCAAAAAAAAGCTTCAGTGAATAATCCAACACATTAAGAATGATCCTCAATGAGTGATTTGCAAAGATTTTTGGTATTTCACCCTCCACGGTGCATAATATCATCAGGAGATTCAGGGACTCCAGAGAAATCTTTGTGCGTAAAGGAAAAGGCAGAAAACCACGACTGAATTCATGTGACTTTTGACCCCTCAAACAGCACTGCATTAAAAACGCCAATGAGACAGACATTAACGGATGGTCTCAGGAATAAATCGTCACTGCACCCACAAATGCAACATTGGCTTCTGTGGTGCATAGTAGTCTAATGCCCGCAACACCCAAAACTTTTCTGGCTTTACACCCATCTGAAATGGACTAAATGTGTATTGTTGTCTGAAAAGTCAAACTTTCTGACTGTTTATGGAAATAACGGACATTGTGTTCTCTCGTCTTGTTACCAGTGTAAAGTTTAAAAGCCAGCGTCTGCCAGTATGGGTAACTTGCAAATCTCAGAAGGCACCATTAACAACGAAAGATCTCTACACTTCTTGAAGCAACCTATGCTGCCTTCTAGATGATCCAAATTTGAAATGAGCTTATATTTACAAAAAAAGAAAAAAGCACCAATAAAGATCATAACATAAAACATCAAATGAAGAGTTCCTTTGCAAAAACAGATATCTCCATTTTAATCATTTTTCATAAATCATGTTTTTTTTTTATTGTGCATTCCAGGTAATAACCCACTGCAGTTGGGTTGTTTTAATTAAGTAAAAATAACAAAATACAGGTAACATACAAAATAAATTTTGGCAAAAGCAGGTAACTCCAGTAGTCATTTCATGTCTCAGAGTTAAAGCCATTTAATGAATACGAGTTTCTTTTAAGTGCAATGTTTGACCTTCTTTAACATAAAACCAGTGAAAATTGCAACAAAAACAGTCCATTAATGAGCATATTAAACATCAATAAGATCAGACCTCAGAAAATCCTAAAGTTGAATCTGAAATGGCTCACTGCTCCTTAAATAGTGCACAATGTGAGTTATGAAATTTTGGCTTCAGCACCCAAATATTGCACTTTAATGTCCAGTATGAATTGTGCACACATGGCTGAATCCAGAGTGGCTCTCTCGCAGTAGCCATTATTTTAAGACCTAAGTGCTGCACTTTGTCGGGAGAAGGGAGAATACTGTGCGCTGATTGGCTGAGGGGATTTATTGGGTTCTGCTGGAGAGCAGCGCCGAAGTTTGACCGTTTCTGCTGTAAAACGTGAACTTGCGATGCCTTGACAGTGGACAATAATGGCTTTTGTGACAAAACAGATTTAGGGTTCAGAACGAGCTGTGTGTTCAGAATCAGCTCATTTTTTAAAGCATGGCGTTTATCGTTTATTACAAAAGGAACTATTCAAATCTTGTTTTTTACTGTTTTCAACTGAATACAAGTCAAAGAGAATTCATTAATCACAGCTTTCTGTCTATATCATAAAATCACACACCGTCCCAACTTTTTTTGGAATTGAGGTTTCTATTTCAAACTGTCATAATACCAAGCTCAGAAAAGTGATATAACCTATACATATTTTCTATTGGTTTTATTGGTTTTTTAGTTTTATGTAATGTCTAATACATATTAAACATATTTAAGTTCCTACACAAAATAATGTCACATATGTATTATTGTAAATGTACCTATATGTGATAACAATGTATCCCATATATATGAAAGTGGGTATCTGGGCTTATCTCTGTTTTCCTGCAA